AGCAAAATTCATTAGGCTTAGCTGCACTCAAACGACTTTTAAATTGTTGATAACTTCAGAAATATTGCATGCAGATTTATTAAAGGCATAAAACCCTTAACCAAAAGATAAGAATAACACAAGTCAATCATTTTTAAAAAAAAAAAAAAAAAAAAAAAATACACAATTTACAAACATAATATTTACTTTTGGTGCGGCCGATTGCAACCAAAATATGAGGTGCACATCTACATGTTATAGCAATATATACAAAATTTCAACGTTCTGAGGCTACTCATTTTTGAGTTATGCAAGATATGTACGTACACACAGACACCATGAAAAATTCTTTTCAGAATTCATTTTAAATCAGTTTTATAATTTTTTTGGGGAAAAGAGTCCTTTATTCTGTCCTTACTTGCGGATGTCATGCAAAAACATCATTAAATTGCATTGGATAGCGTCAAAATCAATATTTTCGTTGAAATACAATACCCGAAATTTTTCGCGATTACAGTACTTCCTTTTTACTTCAAACAAGGAAGTGAAAAGTGTGTCAAGGTAAATTTCCAAATTAATGCTCAAATTTCACACTGAATTTCATAAAATATGGTTTTTAGGCATAATTTGAGTTGTTAAATCGAAAAATGAGAAACAATTGGTATGTCATTTCAGAAAAAGTATGGTTTTGCATCAAAATATGCAGGCTAGAAAAATGCTCTCTCCAGACATACAGGGCGTTTCTATGATCATGGAACAAACTTGGAGGGGTGGTTGAGCATGCTAAAACATGTATTTTTTTGTATGGGAATGTAGGGTCTAGTGAAATGTTAAGCACAAATGCAAAAAATGACACGGGAGGAAAAGTGTGTTTATTTAGAAAATCAACACTAAGTGCTCCTTTGCAGCAATACAATATTCACAAATGTATAATAAATGTTCAAAATTACAACCACTAACAGTAATATGAACTACAGCAATGATTGGCTGTCAATGCAGCAAGTACAGGGCAGTAGTGAGCTAGGCAAACCGTGATCTGATGTATCAGAAAAAGAATGTCATTCACAACTATGATTTCAAGCATGATGAGTGAGTTTATGAACAGAAAAAAGGCTGGCATGCAACTTAAGTATGACGTTTTTAATGGGAACAGCAAAGCAGTGCTATGGTTGTACTGGAAATGATTTTTCTGCCGGTCATATGTGGATATCGTACCGTTAGCTATGAGTCTGTTTATGCAATTTCTGACTTTCCTCCAATTGACATTGCCATTCTTCATGCTATTGCTTATAAGGAAAATATTTCTGCTTCTGCTGCCTCTCAGTATGATTGTATTTTACCTCCATCTGATCTTCCTCATCCTTCAGAAAGAAATGCTGTTAATTTTATTCAGTTTAGCAATAAAACCGTAGATGATTCCCCTGTAACTTGCTATACTAATGGCAGCAAAATTGATGCAAGGTTGGTCTCGCATTTGTTGTCTTCAAAAATGGTCTTGAATTTGAGCACTTTCAATTTAGAATTAGAGATGAATGTACCGTTTTTATAGCTGAACTTTTGTGCTTAAACTTTGCCATCAAATGGGTCTCTGAACAAAATAGTGTTGTTTTTCAGACTATCTCATTTGTACTGATTCCCTTTCATCCTTAGAAATCTTAAAATGTATTTTTTCTTCTAATAATATCATTATTGAGATTCAAACAGAACTGAAAAACCTAAAAGATAAAAATATTTCAGTTGCATTTTCATTTGTTCGTGGTCATACAGGTGTTGTTGGGAACGAACGAGCCGATTTCCTTGCTAAGGCTGCGACTAAGCGGGAAATTGACACTTTTGTCAATATCGTTAATTCCTTTTATAAGAAGGTCATGTATGAAAGCATTGTGGAGTCGTGGAACACCAAATTCATTAATTCAAATAAAGGGAGCTTAACAAAGAGATTTTTCCCTTCTATCAAGATGAGATTGTCATATCATCACTTCTTCACAGACTATAAATTAACCTACTTTCTTACTGACCATGGAAATTTCAAAAGTTATTTGTATAGATTTAAGTTGAGCTCCGAGTCTGTCTGTGATTGTAGCCTCGGTGGAAAGGAGAATGTTGAACATGTGCTTCTTCTATGTCCTAAATATAAGAATGAAAGAAAAGTCTTGAAACCGGAACTGAAAAACTTTAATATTAATTGGCCTCCAGAATTTTATCAATTTAATTCCGAGAGAAGTGCTTTTAACACTTTTTGCCAATTTATTGTGAAACTTTGTAATCATCCTTAATTTTATTTCAGTTTCTTTTTTTCTTCTGTTTATTTTGTATTGAGTTTCATACTTACTTCTGTAAGCCCCATGAGATACTATGTGGTACATGGGGAATTTATTGTGTTTCTTTAATTAAAAAAAAAAAAATAGATGTATGCTGAAGCCCACAATGTTCGAGAGGTTACATTGGTCCCTGCGTCAAAACGGGTCATTTTCTGCTAACTCTGAGAGTAGGAGTGGAACAAGAGCTCTACGACAACCTTGTATTACAAGAGTTACTGTACATTGTCTGCATGTGAGTCAGCTCAATGTTTGGAGAGTATTACATGAAAATCGGTTGCACTCATGCTATCTGCAGAGAGTCCAAGCCTTGCAAGCAACAGATTATCCTCTGGGCATTGATTTCTGTTGCTAGTTATTGCAGCAGTGTGTGGCATGGGTGGATTTCCCATTGGATGTACAATTTACAGATATTTACTTATATTTTCCTCCTTAGGTTTTTTTGGCATAAGATTCTGAAACTTATTTTAATATTCGTGCAATTTTCCCCTTCCTTAAGGCATTCAGAAAGCAAGCTCCTCTATATTTTAAGGTGGATTTCATTTACATATTGGTTGTTTTAATTTTAATGTTATTTGCTCATAGATTTTAGGTTCATGGGCTCTGACTGATAAAACAACAATAGAGAAGAGCTTCAAGGAAACACGGATATATATAATGCTGATGATGATTCTGAAGATTACACATGGAAAGACAGACTGAGTGATGACACCTTGCAAATTGTAGCAAACGAAACAGACAATAGTTCCAGCAGCAATGAACGATTTGAGGTGTAGGGAGTAACAGAGGGCAACAATATGAGTGGGCCAAATTAGATACAGGAAAGTAGAAATACAGATATCTTATTAGATATTATAATGTTAATATTTCTATGTATTCTTATTATAATACATGTTTCTTTTAAACAAATAATATATTGATAGTTACCAATGGCTTATTTGCTACTGTTCTTCATTTGTTATGTTATTACTGTAATCATGTCCTTTGGAAATTAAATTATTTTCATAATTTTCCTCTCTTGGTTTTCATACAATAAAATTAGTAAAAAAAAGGAGAAAATACATTACTAAATAATTGTATTTATTTTCACTATATTTCAACATTCAGAGATGAGGACCAATTAAAATTCACACTTTGTTCTTACAAAGGCTATTGTAAAAGAATTTCAAGTTAGTGAAGGCTTTTGGAATATGCAGAAATGTCATTTTGCTAAGTTATATACAACTGTCACCCTCACTCTTAGTCTCTCAGTATCAATAAATAGCACTAATGGCAATTAATCCTTTTGCACATTTAAAAACATGTTTATAAGAAAAGATTGGTGCTGTCTACAATATAATGTATCAAAATGACATGCATTTAAATTAAGTCCTAATCTCATGCAATGGCATTTAACAATGTTGGCTAAATTTGTTTCACACATATCATTAGCAATTTAAAAATTATGTAACATAATGTTTATTTAGTTGTACACTATTTATCTAATAATTTTAATCTGGTAAATATTTTTTAATATAATTTTAATTCTCAGCTAAAAAATTTTAAGAAATCAAAAGTATCAATTTCAAGATTTCCCCCTTAATTTTGCCCCTTTTTCCTGTGACAAAATATACTGCCTTAATTACAGCTACTTGTGATTGGGATTGAAATCATTAATTAGAGTCCAGTTAACTTCCATTTAGCTTAGGAACTGCCACAATTTCATTTCAAGGAAGGAAAGGAAAAATTAAATAAATATATAAAAACTGGTGTATTATTCTTTAGCTATATGATAACAGTTTTTGTACTTTCTGATTATCTGCATCCCTAATTTCAACATATGGTAGAACATATTTTTAGCATATTTTAGAGCATACAAGCAACAGCCAATCCATGAATGCACATCCATACACATACATTTTAGCCCATGTGAAATTACATGCTTCATGTTTAACTGCCTTTTTGCTGAACAATATCCACCAGCTACTAAAACATAAATATAGCAATATAAATTTTTTGCCTCTCATAATGTCTCATTTCTAATGAACTGCTTCTTTCAATTTTTATTTAAGAACAAAACATTATCTATGAGGCATACATATATATATATATATATAGAGAGAGAGAGAGAGAGAGCTAGGCAAAAGTTTTTTTTTCTACAATTTATGAAATCTCAAATTAATTGGCAATTTTTTGGGAAATAGGATGTGACAATGAGAAAATACCAAGATTTTTTTATCGAAGCACTCTTTTCAGATTTTCCAAATTGAAATATTTCACACATCAAGCTAACATCTGCTTGTAGAGAGATATTTAAAATTTAAATATGTCTATTTCCTACAAAAACTTAAATACTTGTAACATTTTAATCAATCACCAAATATATATATACTTCTAATATTCTTCACAATGAAATATTCACAATGAAATTCTTCTTCACAATGAAAAAATCTAATTGGCATTTATAATTGTAATAACTTCACAACCCTTTTGACAAATCTCAATTGTTATCTAGTTCCCTAATTCACACAGTTTGTACTTCTAAATTAAGCAAATTATTCAAAACTCTTTTAAAACTTAAGATAAATGCATACTTCTATAAGAAAGCATCATAAAAACAAAGCACAAAAAGAGTTAAAAAAATTGCTAATCCTCTTTATGAAAGAATTAAAAAAAAAGTTAGGTTTTACATAATACACATACAGTTAACATGAGCAGCAATACCTGCAAATGGGTAACTTTAGTTTCTTTACGGAGCATTTTCACTGCAACTGAACGTGAATCTGAACATGAACGCCTTAGGTGACCATGGGAAACTACTGTTAGCTGTCCATACAATTCCGCAACATTTTTTGAAAACACTATTGCATCATGTGGAATACACTGAGCAGTGCAACTACAATCCCCTCTAGTTACAAGATTATGATTACCATGACTTTCTTTTCGACATAGCAAGAGGTCAGTCTTATCTATAAAAGAATACTTAGTTTTAAAAATAATCATCTTATGAAAATACAGTTAAAAACAGTTTAGAAATATTCACGCATATTAAATATAATTAAAAAATAATTATTACTGAAAAAATAATATAAAGAATAAAATTAAAGTAGAACTCTGAATTTCAGGCACAAAAAAGCATCCTAGAGCCCTCCTCCTTCAAAAAACAAAAATGTTGCACCTTACACTCCCTCCAAAAATCTATTGTTAAGCTAAGGCCAATACTGTCAGATTTTATAACTGATCTTGGTATATTTCTCTCTCATACAGAAAAATATCCCCAAAATGATATCTGTATATTATTACTTTTTACAGCAAAGGTTTTGTATAAAAAAAATCATTTTCATTTTCGTATATCCCGAAGTTTTTTTTTTTTTTTTTTTTTAAGGTGTTATATTAGTATTCACATAAGGACCAATATAATATCCCTCACAGCTAAATTTGCTTTCCTAAATAATATAACAGTCTTCTTCAAAAAAACATTTTTATATGCTAATATTAATTTAAATTAGGATACAAAGGTAAAACAGAGTTTCAGACTTCAATAAAGAAGTTGATATACTACAAAATTTAAATTAACTCACCATACTCAGATGGAGGAATACATCTAGTAAATTTCAAATGGTTTTCTTTGGAATGATAAGACAGTAACTGAGCTATAGATGGAAAACTGGCCCTCCATCCGTGAAGAGTATAAAAGTAATTTTCATCTTTGTATATCTTGAAAGTATACACTTTTTCGGGGTGTGTTGAATTAATATTTACACATAGATCTACATAATATTCATCATACTTAAATTCACTTTCACGAAGGATATAACATCCTGCTTCAAAATTACATTTTTCTTCAAGCTTCTGATGAGCAAATTCTGGACTAAATGAGAAAGAGGATTATAACTATAAACAGATATTACTCAGGGAAAAGTAAAAACAAATAGCAATCATCAGATTCAGTAAAGTAAAAGTGAATTATAGCATATAACATTATACATAGTTTAATCAATTACAGACACTGACATGTTGATTAAATTGACATATTTATTTAGCCAAACGGGCACTTAATGGATGGCAAGTATATTTAGATGATAATATGAAAATTCTCTTAAAAAAACTGATCATATTTGTCCAAAAAAGTACAATTTTTTGTGTACACAGTCAGAAGGTTTATGGATAAATATTTACTTAAACAGGACTTTTGTATTTATTCAATACTAGACACAGTATAAATAATTGATGATATGGTTTACAAGTAATAAAACAGGTTAAAAATGCTGTAATAGATGATATAGTGTACAGATAAAGAGAATTAAAAAGAAATATGGCTGAAACATATATTTCGCTGACATGTATATTTATGAATATTTCGGCTATACATTTTATATAATTTTGGCACAGAAAGATAATATAATTATTTTATAATGTAAAAATGATTCAAAACTGGTCCCATTGGTAAATACAATAACCATTTACATTCTTTATATATGTTACCAAAAATGTACAAAAGTGAACATTGCATAGAAAGCCTAAGCAATACATGGAATGAGAAAAATTGGATGTTAGTGTATGAAATGATCAATAATTCTCACACCTTCTAACATTCTATATATGACTTTCAATTTAATTTTTTCTTACAACAAGTAGGTTCATATTTTATTTTCCTTAAAAGGAAAAGTCCTATACATTATATTTTATTTCTTTCATTTTCGTATATGTATTTTTAACAGAAGCCATTTCAGAATACTTTTTTATTATTCTGCCTAAATAACATTTATCATTCTACAATATGCATGCTCTTTTCAGTAAACGTTTTTCCATGACGTTCTTTTAAACATTTCTTTATATTCTTTGAAACATTTGCCTATGGAAAAATACATAATATTAAAATAATCTAGATATTTCCCATTTTTTTCCCAAATGGCAGGCATTCTACACACTGCCCATCAGAGACTTCATACCACTTAAGTACAAAGTCCAAAATCTGGACATCCAATATCCAGGCTGAACAATAAGCTAATAAACAGATAAATGAATAAAATAAAATAAAATTAAAAATCCTCTCCAACAAATTTAGGAATGAAGAATATAATACAGTACAAAGTCTGAGATCCGGACGTCCAATATCCAAAATGATCTAAAATACGGTCCTCCAACACCACCAACTTCTTTCTTTCTTTCTTTTCTTTCTTTTTTTTTTTTTTTTTTTTTTTTTTTTTTTTTTTTTTTTTTTTGAGTTTTACACATGCACATTTGATATTTTCTCCATAATGAAACACATGGAGAGTTCCGATTCTTAATTTCACTTTGGCACTAAATAAAATACCTCGTTATTCAAGAAACAATCATTCTAGCATAAATTTGTGTGATCAATTTGGCTCCATATCTGCATATCTGCTTGGCATAAATCTCAAACCAAAACATTCCACACAGAAACATAGTTGATTTTACACTGCTAATATTTTATATCCCTGATGCCATTCTGGTGAATCATAATTATAGTTTGCTTTCATCACTGCATGGTTATCAACACATGATAACTTGAGTAATGACTCATGCACTGATGCCTAAATAATTTTTTATATAAGTAATTGAACAACAAAATGTATGTTAACTTTTTATGTTGACATTATGGCAATGATTATAGACATGTATATTTATGAATATTTTGCTGACAGATTTTAACTGTAGATTTTAGCAGCAGATTTTAACTATTAGCTGCAGGCTGCAGATTTAAGTTAAATGTGCTAAGAAATGTTGACGAGAAAAAATTTAACAAAATTTTCTTTCCATATGGTAAAAACAGATTTTGTTAATGATACTCATAGAACAAAAGATTACATTTAATTCTATTTCAATTCAGAATAACTGATTTGTTATTCAATAAACCCAGAACCGGTGCCAGAGCTCGTATGGACAGACCAGAATTTAAGAAAGATAAAATTTTTGGAATTCAGAGAAGCACTATACAGCAAAATTAAGGCATGGCAAAATTTTTACAGGGTTCGTACACATTTCTACACATGGAAATTAAGAACTTTCAAGGACCATTAATGAAAAAAAAAATTAAGGACCTTTAAGCAAATGGGAACTGAATAAATTCAATTAAAAATATTATCCATGCCTGAACTTCACTTTTGTAATACCATCCTAAAAATAAAATAGATCCATAACTAGGATGAATTATTACTAAACATGAATTAATGAAAAAAATTATTAATAAGTTTGAGAATCAACTTTATAAAATGTATCAAGTAGCATTAAATATTTTACACTTATAATAGTTGGACACATTTGAAAGAAGATAAGTGACATTTTATTTATGTTTTACTAACAGTTAGCTTTATGCTGATTTCTTTTCCCCCCTTTTCCTTTTTTAATGTTTCATTTTGTCACATACTTGCTCAGTCTAGAGCAGCGGTTTTCAACTGGTGGTATGCAAAAGAAAACTAGATGATACGCAAAGGAACCAAGTATTTTTAACTATTAAATTCAAAAATTAAACATTCCAACATCCTGTTAAAGTTTTTTCTCTAACACTCATAAATTTACACAATCTGAGCTTTGTTCAAGGACTTCAGTAAAATATTTTCACAAATATTCTTTTAGCCATAGATATAAAAAAAATTTGTCATAAATTATGTTTTTAACAGAAATGGATGTTGTATTTTATAGGAAATAAAAATAAGTTCCTATAAAAAGATAATAATATCTCATTAATTCTTTTAGAATTGATTGATTTATTAGAATGTCTACACTTTATGTCGCCACCATTTCCATGCTCTATTTTTAATTCAAAGCATTTTTTACGTCAATTTGCTGTCTCTAACAGCAGATAGTTTGTCTTCTTGTTGCTTTGTATTCCTTACTCTTCTATGCGATTTGAGAATATCGTTGTCTGTTTCAAAAGAACTCGTAACATATTGTGCATTTAAATATTTGTAAAAAAATTATAAAACAAATCTAGATTTTCAAAATAAAAAAATGGCTAGGATTGACTAAGCGGAAAAGTAATGATTTACAGGTGATGATATACATAAAATTGTTTATTTAGTGAATTATGACTGGTATGTTTTAGCATATTTAGCTGATATTTATGGAAAGTTAAATGAGATAAATTTAGGATTACAAGGGCAAAGTGTTAATTTATTTACCATTAAAAATTAAATAAATGTAATTATAAAAAGAACTCGAGCTAATAATGAAAGAATTGGATAACAATATTTTAAGCTTTACGACACATTTAGAAAGTTTTCTAACAAAAAGAATTAGCATAATATTATTATTTTCATTGATAAATAATTTTAATATGTACTTTTCCAAGGATTATGAAAATGAAAATTATATTAGAAATCCATTTTGTTCAAACGTACCTGAAATTTTATTTTGTGAAGAAAAAGAAAAATTGATAGATATTTCCTGGGATCAAACTCTAACTGATGATTTCAAAAATAACACACTTGCAAACTTTGGCTTAATCGAAAAAGAGAATTTAAAGGTTTTTAATTTAAAAAAATTAAAAGAATTTAAAGGCTATTACATTTTTATTGCCTTTTTGCACAACCTATTTGTGTGAGCAAGGATTTTCTTTCATGTCATACTTAAAAAATAAATACAGAACGAAATTAAAAGTGGATCCTAACTTACGGTTAAAGCTAAGAGAAATAAGACCAGACATAAAGAAATTGATTTCTCTTAAACAGGCTCAAGTTTCAGGCTAAATTTTAGAATTAAAGTATTATAACTTAAATTAAAATCTTAAAGATAATTAAAATGGTAACCAATTTTTAATCCAATATTTTTTATGAGTGTATCTTTAATATAAATAGCCAACAGGTTGTGAAAATGGCAATATATATATATATTTTAAATATTTCTATTGAGAAATTGAAATATATTCATTGGAAAATAGTGATGGTACTAAAGATTTTAAATTTTGTTTAGATGGTATGCCTTAGTCAAAAGGTTGAGAACTGCTGGTCTAGAGATTTAGTAAATAGCAGGTGAATTTTATGTCAAGTGGCATATATTAAAATGAGAAGTAAGATTATAATCAGCATGATTCATAACAAAAGACTAGATATTGCCACCATGGCTGCTTGCCTAGAGAAAGACTGCTGATTAGAACAAACCTGAAAGGCCTGATGTAGGCCCGGCCGGCAAATTTTGATAGTTAGTTGGGCTCTGTCTGATGCATTTGGTGTTCATAGTTTCGGGTAAAGTTCCAAGGATTGTAACCCAGTTAATATACTAAAACCCTCTAACTGGCAAGGCCATATATATACAGTCTAGAATTTTTTTGTGATATGTGTAAGAACGTACATATATGTGTATCTTAAAATATGACAATAATATAATGGCAGTATATTAAAAGTACACAAATCCAGATATAAAATAATAGGAGAATTTTTACATTAAAATCAAGAAAATAATTTTTTCTCATAGTAGTTTTGGAAAATTTATGCTTTCTTACCGAAAACCCGGCCGGTCAAAGGGTTAAGTTTCCAATAAGCCACTAAAGCACTACAGGTGATAAGTTGTTTTGTATTATTTTAAGTTTCCTTAGATACAAAGAATAAGTTTTACATGAATGTTTACATTTTTGTATTTTATCCTGTGACCACAGTAAGGATTTATGAAAGGCAATTTTTCACTTTAATATGGAGAGAATTTTTAAGGGTAAGCAGTTAGTTATAAATAATTAAATTAGGTAGTTAGATAACCTTAGTTATTATTGATTTACATGGTCACTATAAAATTTTATTTATTTCTTTAATAATATTTGTTACAAAAGCCCTATTAAAAAACAATCTAATGAAACTTCACAGTTTAAAATACATGTAATTCATGACATTGATTCTTAAACGATATCAGAATAAT